CTTTCACTTTAAATCTTCCTGCCTTTAAAAAAATCACTTTTGTTCTTCATTTTCTTCCCCAGAAAACGTCAGGAGACTATTTAGCTCACCTTTTTTTCAGGTATCTTAATCCCCCTGAATCAGTCACTTTTAAGATACATCTAAGTTAATCCCCATTGAGTAATGAATTTAGTAAGAACAGAACATAAAAACAGAGTTCACCAAGAAAAGCAAAAGAATTTAAAAAATACACATTTAGGGATAAACAACATAAAACTTCCACTTTATATTCAGATAAAGAAATCTATATGAAAGATGTATTTCTGTATTTAAGAAGGTTTTTTTAAAATAAAAGAGGTTGGTGGAAATGTAATAGTTTAGGGAGTTCAGGAATTTTTTAAAATGAAAATTAAAAACATAACCTACAAAACAATAAATTAACCAATGAAATGTAAGTAAAGAATATTCAAAATAGGATTATAACCAATTAAAGACAAACAGAATGTAAAACAAAAACCAAATACAACTAAAGATAAAACAAATCCAAATATAAAATAAAATTAGAAAAAATACACAGGTAATTCAATGAATAAATTAAACAGAATAAGACTAAATAAAAGTAATTGTATTAAGAGAAAATGCATTTCAACTACAGACACTTTGTATATTAAACTAAAAAAAATGTGAAATTGCATTTATAACTTTGTATTTGATAAACCCATGTAATTAAATTATATGATAAATGGGTCATTGAATTTATAATGAAACAGAAATGACTTAGAATGTTGGTCCCAATTCGGTACTTCTGTTCCATGTTGTCATTTCAATGTCATTTTATGGTTACAATGACAGTGGCTCAAAATTTTCTGTGCCAAAGAACTATGAAAAACACCACCACTACCACCACCAACAACAAACCAAGGAGCTGAAATGTTTTTGTAAATGACCCTGAGTTAATTAGAAAAATCTGCACCTTACCAGTTCTTTTTCTCACGTCAGCTCTCATTAAATTAAAAAAAAAAATCTCATTTCAAAGTTAAAAAATCCTATGGTTAACAAAAATTTTAAACTGGGATCAAGTGGGCACATTCCTACATTTCTGTATGATGTCATACCAAACACTTCGCAGCTGAATTTGAATTTACAAGAGTATGAATGACTTTTCAATAAAAGAAGTATCTGATCTAACACTAATTTTTTCTCTGTATGCTAACTGTGCTGGGAACAGGTGGCCCTGCTTTCAATTATGGAGGGTTAGCATGCCAGTGTGAGGCCTGGATTAGTTCACCTTCTCACGGGGAATTTTCCTCGGTTGGGAATGGATTTATTATGGCTTCACACATGGAATAGAGCTCATGTCAGCTGAGGGCAGTGACACATCATATGATTCAAATTAACCTGCTGTGGACTGTTCCGCAGGGCTTAGATTGTGTATTAAAATGACGACATTTTAAAAACAGCTTGAAAGAAACCAGGATTTCTGAACTGCAAAGGTTCCAATTTGTTCCAACTAATCTATCACCTGCTGGAGATATTATTCTAGTGGGTTTCTGGTAGCTGCTGTTTTCCAGGTTTCTCCAAGCCACTGACCTTGCTAATAGGTACAATTGTTGCCTCTGAAGGAAAGAAGTAGGGGTTGGGGAGCTTTGAAGGAGTTTTTGATATAGATGTTGGGACCTACCATTTATTTGCCTAAGATAATATTACATGAACAAAGGAAATAAAGGAATACTCACAAGCTCTGAAATATGTTTCCAAACACAAATGGTAGAGAACAGAATTTGTATCACTTGTTTAGAGAAATTAATCCTTAAAAAATAAAACTGAAAGGCTGATTTCCAGAACTGCTTACACTTTTTTGAAGAAAATGTAGGATGATGCAGTTATAATCAGTATTTCCTATAACTTTCAGAGTAATCACTTTTATTGCTATTTAGGTTATAGTAAACCTAAATTCAAAAGTAAGAAAGATTAAATGAAACTATACTACTTTAGCAGTAAGACATTATCTGGGAATGATACTTAAATAAATATACATACAGATTAAAAATCAAATGGTAGAAAATATTCCTAAGGCTAACACTAAATGACAATTTTACATAAAAATTACATGTAATTCCTTTATTATTATATGTGATTTTTAAAAAATTTCCAAGGGAAGGGGACAGTATCGGCGAGTATTATAAAGCTGACATTTGTTCTCATAGTCTAAGCATAAATCATATTTCTCTTGCTTAAAATCTGGAAAACATAAAAATGATATACTGATTTGGCAAAATGTTTTAATGTGTCTTGTTATGCAAATTTACCTTACTATTTGCTATAGATTTTTGATTTCTAAATTAAAACAGAGTAGCATTCTCACTATATAGTGAGAGAGTGCATTCTGTGGAATAACACCTACTTATCTGCTCTGACAAATTATTTACAGTAAGAAAATTTTTGTCTAAGATAGTAAATTTTGGAGCTGAAGGATGTTAGGTTAGTGTTTTAGAAGAGAACCCAAACAGCTGATCTATCTTTCCAATTAATCTTTCCTTAAATACAAAGAAAATAAAAGCACTTTTAGTTAAAATGTTTTAGACTTAGAAGAACTTAAATCACTCACTGTACATTATGTTTGATTTTTGACAATAAAAGTACCATTTTAAAAAACAACTCTTCTTTCTTTGTTTCATTCTCCTTTTCTGTATCCCCAAATTTCTGGACTTTGGTGTTCAGAAACTGTGACTAATGCTCTTGGGAAAATGTATTTTGTGTGTGTGTGTGTGTTTGAGATTTTAAAAAATAATTTTAATAAAAGTCACATAAAATCTTGCTACAAAAAGAATAGTCCCCAGACCAATAGCATTCACTTCATCTGGGAGCTTGTTAGAAACACAGACTTTTGGGGCTGGGGATGTGGCTCAAGCGGTAGCGCGCTGGCCTGGCACGCGTGCAGCCTGGGTTCAATCCTCAGCACCACATACAAACAAAGATGTTGTGTCCACCAAATACTAAAAAATAAATATTAAATTCTCTCTCTCAAAAAAAAAAAGAAACACAGACTTTCAATCTACCTTCTAGAGTCATTAAATCACCATTTCCATTTTAACAAATTCCTCAGAGATGTTTCAAATGCAGATTCAAGTTTGAGATGATTGCTGTAAAATAACTATTTCAATTCAATAACTTAAACATTTGAATCTCCAAATATATTATCATCATTATTAAAAGGACATGAAATAAAGTATGGTGTATATCTAATTCCCAGCTGTAAAAAGTATCCTAAGTAACAGAAAAGTACAATTTACTTTAAAAATCACATTTCTGCTACACAGTCAAATTAAATGCTAAAATTAAAATGTACATATATGCATTTTTCTTAAAATTCAATTTATTTGGCCTCATTTGAAAATATGGTGCTACCTACCATATGGAAACTTGCAGATTCCATTCCTTTTACAAACAAATCAATAAAATGTAAACTACAAGTGAACTTCTTAGCCAAATTGAGTGAAAGACTGCTTAAAAGCAAATGAAAACTGAAAAATAAGAAGTAATCCAAGTTTCTCTGTCTTTCCTCCATGATCTAATGATGTGTTGTTCTTACACTAAACCTGTTCAGTCTTTCACACGTGAACATCTCTGAAATCAGAAAATGTCCTCCAACTGACAAAGAAAAACTGAATCAGTTTCAATGGCAGATTTTTTTTCTTTCTCCTTGGTGATACATAAAATGTTTTTTCTTAAAATTAATGATGGTTCAGATTCAATGAAATGTGGTACTTCACACTTCATACTTAACTGAGTGCTAGGAACCATTCCTCCAATCCATCTACTACTACGTCAAACCAAAGGCTTCTTCCAAAACTCTGAAGACACTCTTGACTGCCTTAATCAGTTTCTCACTTTCCTTCTATTCTTTTAAAACCATGTTTAGATATTTATCATGAAAAAGTTCTTTATATTAGCACTGGAGATATGTGCTTAAGGAGAAGTGAAAGGATCAGTGCAGGTGATTTCAGGCTCTGTAGTCCAGACATCATGACTAACTGCCTTCTTCATCTGTGTAGTTAGTACATCGACAGACACTCAACAAGGACCACAAGTGGATATTTTTCTTCATCAAAATCCATGCCTTCAAAGCTGTGGCTGGAGTCTTAAGAGAATGTAACATCATTGTTTGAAATTCCTAATGAAAAAACTAATGTTCCTTTGATGGCTAAGTACTATAAGCACAATGAAAGCAAAATGAAAAAAACAGGAATTTATGTTAATAAATAGCTCATGCCACACTGAGGAGAATACTAATAGAAGAGGAAGAGGAACATAAGATGAAGGTATAAGAAAAAGAGCAAGACAAAGAAGGATGAGGAGAAAGAGAAGAAATATCTCTAATTATGTTAAAATTAGTGTGGGATAGATGCTCAGAACTAGTGTTTGGAGTCACAAAGACCTAGGCTTCTGAATGGCTCTTCTATCACCAGCATTTTACTTCACTTTTCTTAGTCTTATTCAGAAAATAGGAATAACTACAGTACTCATTCCTGAGTCTTTATGGGTATGTAAAGCACACTTTGATATCTTTAGCTGTCTAGAACTGAGTGCTATGTTTCAAGTACTCTGTTAAACATCTAAAGTAAGTGTACACAACTAATTGATCTATATACATGCTATCTTGGTTATGTATATCATATATCCCATCCATCCTTCCATTCATTTTATTCTCTTTATATTACAGGTAATAATACCAAGGCACAAAAAGACTATAGCAATTGTTTAAGATTACACAATTAATTAACAGCAACAGTAAAAACAAAATATCAGTCTTTAGCTTCCAGCCAATTATTCCTTAATCAAAAAAAATTGTCAGACTTTTTGATCTGTAGAATGTACAGCCTCAAAGACATATACTTCTGGAAAACAAATCAACTACTCATTTTTGGCAGGGAATGTCAAAATCACTAACAGATCTATATGCACGTTCATATAGACACATGGAAAGAAATGTAGACCCTTTTGAATTATGAGTTTCTTACCTGGTCCATTAAGAAAGTCTTTAATTTGCAGCATTACAAGGGAAGGTGGAATACCACTTTTGCTGTCTATTTCTCCAGGCACTGTCTGCAGCCACACAGTGTTGTAATCAAGGGCTTCAGGCAGTGTTTTCCCAGGATCTAGAGGGACAACAATAAAATTGAAAACATCAATTACATTACAGACATCTCATTATGGGGTATGAGTTTGAGTTGATAAACAGATGAAAAAATGGTTAAATAGCTACATGTATCTTTCACTGTTTCCTTTATTTGTACATTACAGTCTACAAGTACTTGTACTGAACAAGATCAACTATGTCTGTAGTCTGTACAAGATGGGATGATGAAATCTCATTTTCCAGGACAAGGCCAAAGAGAAAAACACATTCCAAATCTTATATCATCTTTGAGTGAAGCTAAGTTTCTGTACTCTGTTTCTGTACTCTGCTGACTCCTAACAGTTTAATAGTTAGATTTTTAAAAGAACATGATGTTGGAAACAAAGAAAAAGGGCAACCTTGTCAGCTTAAAAAAAATGCATATACATGTTCAAAGATGCAGTGGATTAGTACTACTTAAGGGTTATTTGATCTGTTTTAGAGTTTTACTGACATTACAATCACTTTTTACTACAAGGCTTTTGAAGTTAACTTCAGTAGCTTTCCCATAACCTTTTCTAATGATAAAAATTGGTCAATCTTTTACTAGTTCCAATTAGACTAAAGCTTGGGGTTTTTTTTGTTTGTTTGTTTTGACTTTGTTTAATGTTATGCATGTTTTTTACTTTTTTCTGGTTAATATTATGTATCTTAAAAGTATATTTTGGCTATTGGTGATAGCAAACTTAATTTGCTTTTTAATGCTTGGAAATCCACAGCTTTTATTGAAATAGCTCTTTAAATAAAAACGACTGCTGTATCTTGGCATACAGTGTAGTAGGCTTTTAAAAAACTTCTAAATATTCACAGTTTTTCTTTAGTTTCAAGATTGTTTTACTCTCTGTGTTTTAATGGCCTCTGAATGTCAATTTTATAGGGATGTTCTTGCCATAGAGCCCAACTATTCCATTTTCAGTCTATTTGAAATGTGTTACTAAAGTGTTATTTATTTTAGCTTTTATTGATTGGATTGCTTTCAAGAATAGCATTTACATATAGTGTATTATATTGAACATATGGTTATATAGTATTACTGTCATATGTGAACTGGGCATATAAATTCTGCCTTGGAATTTGTATTTCTTGACCTTCTCATGTGATCCTTATGAAATTTGGCACATACAAACCTTTATGTGATTTCAAAGGAAATACTGAAAGCAATTGATTGTGACGTTAGATCTATGTGGTAAAGATCAAACAGTCAGCTAGTGCATTCTTCCCTTTTTTATATGATCAGTGAATTTAAAACAATGAGTAGACCCATTACATAGTAAGACTATACTATTCTCTCTTTTAAATACAGTGGTCAATTCTGGTGAATGGATAATAGAAATCTGTTGCTATAGGATCTATACCCTGTATGAGCTATGTAAACCTACCAGAACCTGAGAATCTATTCCTAAGGTCTCTCCTATCTAGATGTCATCAAAAGTAAGTGGTGTTTGCAAGATCTATATGAGGAGACATAATTTTTCACATTGAGGAGAAAACATTTGAGAAAGAAAGTTATCTGATTGAGAAAACATAGATGTGATATAAATAATAAATAATGAACAGACATAAATTAAGCTGAGGTAGAAAGGTTAATAAGATGTATAAAAAACTGGAAAGTCAAACTTAAGTAGAACAAATAATAAGAAATACATATTCCAAAGTATACAGAATTAAAAAAATTGTTATACTTATTGCATTTAAAAAAAAACAGGGCAGGGGTTGTGGCTCAGTGGTAGGATGCTCGCCTAGCATGCACGAGGCACTGGGTTCGATCCTCAGAACCACATAAATGTAAAATAAAGATATTATGTCCACCTAAAACTAAAAACTAAATATTAAAAAATAAAAATATAAAAAAAATAACCCCAGGGCTGGGAATGTGGCTCAGTGGTGGCACTTTTGCCTGATATGTGTGAGGCACTGGATTCGATTCTCAGTACCACAAATAAATAAAATAAAGATCTATCAACATCTAAAAAAATTTTAAAAAAAAACCCCACAATCTGTTTTCTACACTTTTCTAGGGATAAGGATTCCAAGTAGCAGGACAATGTACACTATGGAAATGTAAGTACATTAACTGTTATATTCTACATCATCAACAATAGGATGCCCAAACTAGAAAACAAAAGACTGGTGTACAGTAAGTATATGGCATACAAAACTTTTGTCAAAGGATAAAATGAATGAAGTAAAAAGTCAAATAACCAAAAAAAGATAAAATTGCAACATAAGTGACAGTGACAAGAAGGAGATATCACTAATATTTAGAGTTTACATAATCCATATAAACACCAATAGAAAAATCTGTGGAGTAGGGAATAAGTAATTAAAAATGGCATATAAACATTTAGAAATTGAAACATTAAAAGATACTAATTTTAGCCAGGTGCAGTGGTGCACACCTAGAATCCCAGTGGCTCAGGAGGCTAAGAGGCTCGTCCTCAGTGTGTGTGTGTGTGTGGTGTGTGTGTGGTCTGTGTGTGTGTGTGTGTGTGTATATATATACACACACACATACACATACATATATATATATACACGCATATATACACACACACATATATATACATACACACACATATATACAACACATATATACACACACACATATATACACACATATATACACATATATATGGATAAATTCATAAATTCAAATATATAACTAGTTTTTTGAAGCTTTTTAAAAGTTTTCATTTTTTCTTTTACTAATCCTTCTGGAGAGTACTAATTTGTGAAAAAACAGGAAAAATCTGTTTAGCCTCACTCTTAAATGGGGATTTACAAATTAAAATGATAAACTCAAGTTTTCATTCATGAGATTTGATAAAAAGTTTAATGCTGATATCCCATTGTGTAGAGGGCAAAGGAGGAGAAATAGATCCTCCATGTAAGGTAGATAAGAATGCACATGCAATATTTCTGTATGATCAGGGGAATTGGTTGAGAATGACTGCTCATCAAAATTCAAAATATTCATGCCCTTGGCATCAGAAAGTTTATCTATAGAAATCTAACTTAAAAATACTTGAGAATCATAGATTAATGTCCAAAGAAGTTGACTGTAGCATCATTGGAATATTAAAAATCTGGGGAAAATAAAATTAAATATCCATCTATAGAGAAATGGTAAATCAAAATAGGACTAATCTATGAATACTACACAGAATACTATGCTGCTGATAAAGAGAATAGAATCTCATGCACTGATATAGAAGACCTTCAAAGTATTTTGTGATTAAAAAATAAGTAGGACAGTAGGGTTAGTAAATTTTAATATAAAAAGCCTATATATATATATATAAATGTATACATAGGTACTTCTTTTTTAAAGATGTATGGATGATCCTAACCATATTTTGATATATAGACCTTATAAGTTATTCAGGACTAAAGACAAAATAGGATTCTTTACAATCAATTTATAAAAATTAAAAGAAAGAGAAAAAGAAAAACACACTTCAACAGGTATTTTATGTCCTTCTCTCATCAAGGTATAAACTGGGGAATGCCAACTTCTGATTATGTGAGTGAGTTTTCCAGGCCAGTGAGGTACATTGTGTGCAGGTGCCTTTCCTATAGTAGACCTTAGAGGGCCAAGCCATGTGGTGTTCCACCTAAAAGTCTACCTTGGGGCACTTACAGGGGGAAAGAGTTAATAAGAGATAAACCAAATGATACTAGTGGGAGCAGAATCAGGATTAAGACTATAAAAGTCTATGAAATCTAGCCAAGAAAACCAAAATTTTAATGACTATTTCCTATGAAATATTAGGACAACTGCTTTTTTAAAAGTATGTCTGAATTTATAAGGTTGGCAGAACAGAATAATTTAAGTTAGAATCATCCAGAAAAAATATAGGTAGCATTGCTGATGAATATGATAGAACCAGTATCTCCTCTCCTGGCTTTGGTTCAAATCTCTCCTTATATCTGCCTATAGTCTTGGCAATTAGTTAAAGCAGGACTAGCACAAGAGTATGTTAGAATCCTAGAGAAACTGCTCAAGTTCCAAGTTCCAAAGTCACCATTTAGTCCCTATGATCAGATGCTAAAGAAGATGACTTCTAGATTTTTTGGACCCTCCTCAATTTAACTTCCCCTTAAATATATCTTCAGGACAAGAAAATGAGTCATGTTCACATTTCTTGGGGTCCATATACCTGGGAAAGCATCAGTTCAACTAAGATTAAATGAGCTTGTAAATATAATACAAGCAAAATGACAAAGACTAGTGTTTCATACTGGAAGCTCCTTCCAACTTCTTTATACTTCAGAAACAGTTAATTTATTCAAGAGGGAGAAGCTCTCAAAGAAGAATAAACTGTGCCTAATGTTGGATGGGCACATTTACACTTTTATACTGGATACTGCTAAGAAATATCCATCATAGATACAATTCATATATATATATATATTTTTTTTTTTGTGCTTTTTATACTATAAAGAACTTTGTTCGAGATAAGTTAGAACTCACTTTTAAAAAACACTATTGTGGACCAAGTTGTAACATTTCCTTTACGTTGACCTCACCCCCACCCCACAAGAAAATCATGTTACAAAGAAGATCTAAAGAGAAAACTGAGAACCTCAGTTCAGTTTCCAGATTAATCAGAGTATTGGATTTCATAGGAACTTGATCAAGATTGGATTCCCTATATTCATAGATGACTTTACTTTTCTTTAAAAAAATCTCATTTCACTGAACTGCATGGGACAAATTCCACTAAATCTGATAAAACTGTCTTTTAAAATGCTGTAAACTTAAAAAAAAAATTAACAACAACAAAATGCTGTGAGCTATTATTTTTAACCCTCGGCAGACATTTGTAGAGTTAAGTATATATTTGTTTACCATTGGAACATATTAAATACAACATAATTCAGCTTAGCCAACTCAAAACAAAGCTTTGAAAATGAACTCAATTATGTTCTTTTAATTTTCTACATGTCAAAAAAATTGCTTCCCAAACTCACATAAAA